AGCGTGAAGGGAGCATGATGGGAGCGTGATGGGAGCGTGAAGGGAGTGTGATGGGGGCGTGATGGGGACGTGATGGGGCGTGATGGGGACGTGATGGGGGCGTGAAGGGAGGGTAATGGGAGCGTGATGGGCACGTGATGGGCACGTGAAGGGAGAGTGATCGAAGGGTGATGGGGACGTGATGGGGGTGTGAAGGGAGGGTGATAGGGGCGTGATGGGAGCATGATAGGGACATGATCGGAGGGTGATGGGAGCGTGATGGGAGGGTGATCAGAGAGTGATGGGGGCGTGATGGGAGGGTGATGGGGGCGTGGTGGGGACGTGATGGGGGCGTGAAGGGAGGGTAATGGGAGCGTGATGGGCACATGATGGGCACGTGAAGGGAGAGTGATCAAAGGGTGATGGGGACGTGATGGAGGCGTGAAGGGAGGGTGATAGGGGCGTGATGGGAGCGTGATAGGGACATGATCGGAGGGTGATGGGAGCGTGATGGGAGGGTGATCAGAGAGTGATGGGGGCGTGATGGGAGGGTGATCAGAGAGTGATGGGGGCGTGATGGGAGGGTGATCAGAGAGTGATGGGGGCATGATGGGAAGGTGATGGGAGCAAGAAAAAAAGTGAGGTGAGGAAGAAGGAAAGAGAAAAGTTGACCCTCTTCTTCATATGTCTTTGTCGATAGTTCCATTATGATGTTAAAATGATGTGTTATCCACATGGACCAGGAAGAAGGTCAAAATAATTTTTGCCATTATTAAGACAACAATTAGAAGTGGACCATTGTACCATTGTTAAAAAATGAGACTCATCTCAAATATATACTATGGCTTGAGATATTAGTGGTAGCAGGCTGTGTGTACAATATAGAAATAACTGAGCCAGGTGTGATGCATGCCTTGAGAGGTGGAGGCAAGAGGAACAGGAGTTCTGGGCCAGCCTCCACTCAGTAGCAAGTGTGAAGCCAGCCTGGGCTTTGAAAGCATGAGGACCTTAGTTTGAATCCCAGCAGCTGTATAAAAGGCTGAGTGTGACTGAGTCCATGGGCCTGTAACCCCAGTGCTGGGGTGTGGAGGCGGGAGGATCACTGGCACTTGCTAACTAGCTCTCCAGCCTAGCTCTCCAGGTTCAGTGAGAGAACCTTGTCTCTAGGGAGGGAGTACAGTGGAGAGTGATTGAGCAGGATTCCCGATGTCCTCCTTTAGCCTCCACTAACAAGCACACAGACATATAACTTTTGAATACACACACACACATTAATTAAACATATATTGAGGGTTAATGTTCAAATGCTATTGCTGATAAGATATAATGCCTTAGCCAAGCATAGTGGCACATTCCCTTAATCCCAGAGCTCGAGAAGTAGAGGCAGGTGAATCTCGATAAGTTCAAAACCATAGTGAGTTCCAGGATAGCCAGGGCTAGTAGTGAGATCGTGTCTCAAAATAACAATAGCTTGATGTGGGAGACTGTCACCTTAAAAAGGCTTTAATTTCAGCAAAAGTTTTAAAATCATGGGTCTCGGATCTCAGAGAATGAGCTGCCTTTCAGCAGCCCTCCACATCAGAACCACTAAGGATTGTGTTTACCCTGCGGAACAAAGGGTTCTTGTATTCGGGAGTGTGGCTGCAATGGCTCACTTGTCCTTCATCGCCTTAGCTTTTCCCTTCCTTCTGGAGATGAGGGAAAGATTAGTTGAGCTCCCTGGAGAAAAGCATTAGGTAAATACAGGACGTTGCTGAGCTATTGTTTCTATTCCTAACAACACTAGCAGCTGGGGGGGGGTGTGCCTCCAAGGGGTTCAAGTGAACATCTAGGCCAGGGGTCTATAGCACTCCAACTCTGGATCTCTCAGCCATATGAATCTAGGGGTCCCTGTGGCCTGAGTCCTAGGGGGCATGGAGGCTGCTGGGGCTTAGGAAAACGGAAGCCTGAAAGAGGGTAACTCTCTCTGGAAGGAAGAGCCCACCTTCTTCTGGACAATAATGAACTGGGCCAATGACTGGCCATAGAAAGCACTGCATGTGTCAGCCTAGGGATCAAAGCCATGGGGATGAAGTCTCCACTGAGGTAGAGGTACCTGGTATAGGCCCACCTGCCAAGAAAGTTAGGGTGGGGTTCCTGTCTTTCTTTCTGTTTCCCCACACTAATTACATTTTGTAGTAAAAATAATTATGCATCCCATTTAAAAGTACATCTGCGTGAGGAATTTAACAGGATAGAAATGATACTTCTCCACAGTTTCTAGCCAACTCATGTTCACTGAGCTTATGCCTTGGCTGTGAAGTCTTGTATCAGCACACACGGAGGAAATGCCAGGGCACAGAGGAGCCGGTGGGTAAGTTAAGATGTGCAGATCATGATGGCACAGATGGATAGGGACTTGAGAGGTTCCGATGAAGAGGAACCAAAGTGGGACAGGGATCAGACAGAGTCATAAGTCAAGGCCGGGCCTTGAAGGGTCAGGGAATCTGATCAAGGAGAGCTGGAGATACTGACATTCCCAAAGAATGAACCAATCCCACAAATAGAGAAGCATGGGACACATGTGGCCAAAGTGAATAGTTACTTCAGAATATGGGAGAAATGTAGGGTTGCAGATGTGTATGGGAAATGAGAGACGCTCCCCACACTTAGACCCCTGTTTCTCACGCATGACCAGGACAAGCCTTGGGAAGTTTCTAGATGAATGAAAGTCAAGACAAAACCTGTCTAGGGCCCGCCAGTGAGTTACTCGGAAATAGAGATTCAGATGGACACTTGCAAGGTTTCTGGCCTTTGTACTGACCAGACACAGCTGGGTGTGTGGGAAAGTGCCCGGGGCCAGGGGCAGGTGGATTGCTTCTCTGGGAAAGCCTGGAGCTGGAGGTTCCAAGCACTGGGCGTCCTTCTCAGCTGTTGGCTTGGTCTTCTTAAGCCAAATCTTCCCATGGAAGCTGGGTGGCGGATGAACCTGGTGACTGGACTGAAGCTGTTGGAAACTCCGATGGGTTGGGCTGGGAATGGCAGAGTGTGGGATCGCTGCAATAAAGTGCAGGGAAAGGAGCCCTTGCAGTGTCCTGGGGTGTGAGGCACAGGGCGTGGGGCCCTGCATTCCCGGGTGGCTAAGACGCCGTCAGTGTTGATGATTATCATTATTATTCCTGCTCGGGTTTCTTGGAACTTTCATCCTGCAGGACCCTGCCTGGCTGGGCAGGCGCGTCATCAGCTAGCAAAGGGTGGGGCAGGTGGCTCCTGGCAGCTGGGGAACACGACATAGCTGGGGTTTTCTGGCAGTTCTGAGATCCTTTGTAACCATGGATGCATGGGCAGAGCTTCTCCTGGGGAAACTGAGACACATCAGCAAGGAATAAGTCAGTCAAGGTCCTTCAGCAGAGACCTTTCCTTCCCGTCCCTTGTCCTTCATAAGGCCAGAGGCGTATTCTCTTCAAGCTGGGGCTGATCTTGTAGGGCTGGAGGAGAGTCAGGAAAGGTGTGGATTCCAGAAGAGAGAACTGGGCTGGGGCCAGGACATCAGAGCTGTTACCCTCGGTGCCAGGTGCTGCGGGCATCATGAGGTCAGGCTCTTGATTTCAAGTCTCTCTGGAAGGTTCTGCCATATGGGTGGATCTTCCGCAAGCCCCCAAGGGAAGGCAAGGCTGGAGACGTGCAAAATGCCCAGCTCTGTCCATCAGAGGCCAGATTCAGCATCCTGGGATAGGAAGAGCCTAGATCTCATAAAGATGGGCCAGGCCCTGGAGCAAAGGGCCAGACAAAGGATCATAGACTGAGAAAGGTGTGTGTGTCCGCGTGTGTTGTGTGAGTCTGCGTGTGTTGTGTGCACATTTGTTAACACCAGCTCGCAGCGGTGACGAGTCTCTGCTTGCTGAGATGAGATGAAAGCGAGAAGGGCTGGAAGGGAATGTGAGTGGCAGGCTGATGAGTAGGTACGGGGTTGAGTGGAATCCTACAAAACACGTGGATTCTGGCCCACTGGGGAAGGAAGGGAGTGGGCCTATTATAGGCTGCAGACTGAAGCCCTGTCTCCTTTCTCCTTTTATGCAATGCCACTTCAAGAGCAGTGGCCCCTGCAAACGCCTTCTGGCTTAAAGGGAGAAAGTGGGTCAACGAGTAGGCTGTGGAAGCTGGAGGACGGGAGGTGATAAACAGTGCTCCAGCAGCCTCCACCATCGCTCCCAGGACCCACATCTCCCAGGGCCATTGCCTGCCATGTATTCCTGAAGCTAGCTTTTATTACCCAGCTACCATGAGCAAGGCGGGCTACTTGGCTCATAGCGCAATACATGAGATTTGTTCTCTGCTCTCGGGAGGCTCTCTAGATGGAGAAAGACAAATCTTTCTCTTTGAAGAACTCCTGAGTTGAGCCCGGAGACATCTCCTTCCTCCCCGGCAGTGGCTGTCCCTGCTCTACCTCTGCCACCAGTCTGCTAATTTTCTGGAGGTTCACACATGGAAAAGCAAGTTTCACTAGAACTCCTGCTGGTGTCTTGACACCCACCCAAGCAAAACATCCATCCTTCAGCTACGAAAGCCATCCCTTGAGCGTCCTACCATGTCAGACCGCCATAAGACTCACTGTGACACCAAACACACCCCTTTGCCTATAAGACCTGTACCCACTTTCTTTCTCCTACTGGTGATCCAAAAACCCACAACAGTTTCCCAAAGTTAATTAGATACAATATGAGCTTCTGGGGGTTTTCAGGGCTCTGCCACAAGCTTCCATTCTTACTGCCATTGGTGTCCCTTCAGATCTCCAGTAGTGTTCCATCCCGTTCCCAACAGTGTCTCTTCCCTCCCATTCCCAACAGTGTCCCTTCAGATCCCCAATAGTGTCCCTTTTCATTCTCCAGAGTGTCCCTTCCCATTCACAGCACACAAATATCAGTAACATAACTGTCAACATCTGAACCCCACCAGAAGCTTTTCCAAAGGACTCCTTTCCACATCTACAGCCAATTCATTTGACAAATATGTACAGAACAGAGGCGATGGACCAGGTCCCATGAGAGTCACTAAAGTAGCTCTTTTAATGTTGGGGGGAGATGAGCCTTCTGTCACGGAGTGGGGCCATGCTTGACCAGGGAGGACGGATACTAATGAAGATGATGCAGCGAAGATCCCGACAGAGCGGCGCTCCTGGCTTCTCCAAGCCTTGCTCCCACCATGGTCTCACAGAGCTTTCCCTCCTCATCTCTTCCCATCACAGAGAGTGCCTTGCTGGGAGGAATGGAGAACGTGCTAACGAGATGTTCACATGGCACAGTCCTGAAGGCACCACATTGCTCTCCAGTGGAAACTGCTTCTCCATTCCTGAAGTCAGCATCCTACAGGAAACAGGGGCAGAAATTAGACTCTAAAATTTCTGTGTTAAAAAACAAGCTCTTACTGGGCAGTGGTGGCAGACACTTTTAATCCCAGTACTCGGGAGGCAGAGGCAGGAGGATCTCTGAGTTTGAGGCCAGCCTTGTCTACAGAGCTAGTTCCAGAACAGCCAGGACCACATAGAGAAACTTTGTCTCAAAAAACCAACCAACCAACCAACCAACCAACCAAACAACCAAACAACAAGCTACAAAAAACAAAACAAAAAACCAAGCCCTTCGGAGGCTGGGCTTGGATAGCAGAATGCTTGCTACACAAGCATGAGGACCTGAACTCAATCTCCAGCATCCATGTAAAAAACCACGTGTGAAGGCCCTCATCGTAATCCTAGCACAGGGGCGGCACAGCCCAGCAGCTGTCTGGGGTTTACTGGTCAGCCAGTCCTGCCAAGTCCGTGAGTTCTAGGTTCAGTGAGAGGCCCTGTTTCAAACTCCCAAGATGGCGAGTGAGGGAGACACAGTGCTGATGTCTGGCGTTGATACACATGCGTGCCCATGCACATGCTCACCTTGCCCACACACCCTTCAAACAGCGGAAGTTATGTAGGGCTGCAAAAGGCCCTTACCATTTCACCCAGTTAGGAAATAACAGCACCCAGGCCCTGACCCAGAGGGCAGCCATCTTGTGGAGGAAAGAAACCCCCTCTCCTTAGCTCTAGCTACAATGGTAGGTGACTCTCCTGTGTGCGGTGTGAGACTTGTCCTTGAAGGAAGACTCTAACTCCTCCTGCGGTTGTTTGATGTGGGTGGGTGTTTAACCACGATAAGCAGAAGCAAAGTCTTCCAACTGTCTCACCAAGGAAGATGCTACAAATTCCTCCTCCTTGCTTATCTGCCCCAGACAACACGGCAAATTATGAAATGTTCAATATTCTCTGCTCTGAAGGCACATAAGCAACTCCAAACCAACATAAGCAAGAACCCTTTGGAACTGTTCGCTCTTATTTTCTTAAGTATCAACCATATGGATAATTTTGAAAGAACGTGACAATTGGGAGCCAGAACATGCTGGCCTAGTCTCTTGGAGCTCTTTTAGGGTCCTCTTATAATTGGGTCTCTCCCTGCAACTTTGTGGCACTGTCTCCAAGGGGTAGAATTCCTGGTCATGAAACTGTGATAGCTCCCAAGAATGCTAGGGAAGAAGCTGCTGTGCCTGTGGAAGCCAGCAGGAAGGCAGTTCTTTTTGAGGTTTGCCTGACAGCAGTGAGAGCGTTTGGGGCTCTACAGTGAAGCAGGCGTGGAAAATAACATGGTCAAAATGCTGCCCTGAGTGTGGAGTTTCCCAAATCAAAGGGTGGGTCACACCATAGGGTGATGAGTCCTGCTGGGTGGCAGTGGCGCATGCCTTTAATCCCAGCACTCGGGAGGCAGAGGCAGGTGGATCTCTGTGAGTTCAAGGGCAGCCTGGTCTACTGAGTGAGTTCCAGGCTACACCAAAAAAATCCTTTCTCTAAAAAGTTCCTCCAAAGGGAATAGTCCCTTCCTTTCCCATCTCCCTTATTTTCTCCCGGTCTTCCTTCTTCTCATTTCCTTCTTCCTTCCTCTCTTCTTCTTTCCCTTTTTCCGCCTTTCCTCTTTCTTCACCCTTCCCTCTGCCTCCCTCCATCCCTGCCTTCCTTCCTCTCTTCCTTCTTCGCTCTTTTCCTCCCTATCTCCCCTTCTTCCTCTTCCCTCTCCCCCTCTCCACCCCCAGCCCTTCTCCTTTCTGCTTCCCTGTGGAACCCAGCGGCGAGTCCCTACATCAGGAGGCCTCTCTAGTTCACCGTCACTTACCCCCTTTTCCTATTCATTCTACAGTGCCTCAACTCAACTTCATGTCCTTTATACCACCGTCCCCCTCTTGTCAAGCCCTGGTTGAGTGCTCCTTTCTCTGAATTCTAATTTCATTGCATAAGGTGTGTTATTTGATATATTTGACTATGCCACACCTGATATTGTCCAGCTGCATAACTCGCCTGAGTCTTGGTTCCCCAGGCAGGGCGTAAATGTGAGAGAACAAGACCATTTCAGAGTCTCTTAGAGCGCCGAGCACGGGGAGGAGTCACTGTAGGACTTGATGGAGCTTCTTTTTTTCTATTTCTTTTGCTTCTCATCAAACGTGGGAGGATGGCACTGAGAGGCGGCCGCTGGAGCAGTCAAGGCCCACAGCTTGTTTGGGTGGAGAAACATATTATACAACATCAATTAAATTCCTGATAGACAGAATCCCTGCCTTTAGACGCGCACTATGGAGAGCCCTGGGGGCAGTCTGGAGGTTGGAGGACATCTTTCACAACACCGTGCAGTTCAATTACCTATGGGGAAATCTGCGGTCCAAGTGGTTCCAAATAGCAGTGTGCACCTTAGGAAGAATCCGGGAAACCAAAGAATGTGGGAAAGCCCTCTGTAGGATTGTCACCTGTCGACATGGGAGAACTCACCTGAGACTAAAGACCAGTGTAAACGGTAAGCTGGAGGTACGGGAAGGAAGGAGCAGGGTAGACAAGGTTCTTTGTAGTAAGGCTTGTCTCCAGACTCACGTCTCAGCCCAAGAGATTGAACTTGAAGAGGAAGTTGTATATGCAGTGGGGACTATTAGATTATTATAATCTTCCCTACCACCTCGACATCTTCTTTTCCCTCCTCCTTCTTCTTTTGAGACAGGCTCTCATGAGTTCTGATCCTCCTGCATCCACTTCTTAAGTGCTAGGATTACAGGCGGGCACCACCGCACCCAGGTGATACCCTCCCGGGGATCAAACCCATGGCTTTGTGTATGCTAGACAGGCACTCTGCCAAGTGAACTGCATCCCAGCCCAGAGCCTTTTCTTAAAACTGACCCGCTGCCTCATCTCCTTTACCTCCTCTCTTGTTAGAAAGGCAAGTCCCGGAACATCCAGCAAAAACGGTTCAGGTTTCTGTGGAGAGTGGGATGTATTTTCTGCGCCTGCGCTAGTAAATCACCACAGACAGGGTAACGGAACGCAGCACCCATGTGTTGCCTTCCGATCTGGAGGCCAGAAGTCTCACTGGGCTGAGGCAGACAGCATTGTGTCAGAAAAGGGGAGAAATGGGTCCTAGCTTGCCTACTTGTGCTTTTCAGGGCGGCCCACATTCCTCAGCTCACATCCTTGTCCGTCGCCACAGTCACATCACGTGGTTTCGATCCTGCTTCCCTGACTTCCCTAACTGTATCTCAGAGTCCAACACTTCTGTCCCAACCCTCTAAGGGCTCTTACAGTGCTGGGCCCATGAGAATCCAGTGTAATCTCCACACCCCACCCATTAACTGAATCACTTTGGAAAGTCCCTCTTGCAATGTAAGGTAACATATTCACAGGTTCAGAGAAGGGAATGTGGGTCTTTTGGGGAACCACTCTTCTACTCATGACCGGTGCCGGTGAAGAAATCTGGGAGGAGCTTGGGGTGCCAGGTGGTACAGCACTCTGGCTAGAAGAGCTGGTGTGGGGACTGGAGAGATGGCCCAGTGGTTTGCTCTTGCAGGGAACTGGGGTTCAATTCTGAGCACCTATACGGTAAGTCACAACCAGCTATAATTCTAGGTCCAGGGAATCTGTCACCCTCTTCTGGGCACCAGGTATGTGTATGCTGCATATACATACATGGACTCATATATTCACATTAAAAAAAAATCTTAGGGAAAGAAAATCACAGTTACGGGCTCTGGCTACCCCAGTTCACTCTTGCCTCTGCTGTGTAAGAACAATGAGACCTTATGACGTTTCCTGCTTGTGGTCTCAATACCTTAGTTTTCTTGTCTGTAAAAGAGAGATACCTACCTTTGCCTTAGTTACTTTGATTATATGGGGGTAACAGTGATTAGACTTAGGACAGGAGGAACCATTCAGTTAACTGGAAATATCTTTTGTGGTGAGGTATTTCGAGACAGGGTTTCTCTGTATAGCCTTGGCTGTCCTGGAACTTGCTCTGTAGACCAGGTTGGTCTCAAACTCACAGAGATCCACCTGTCTCTGCCTTCTGAGTGCTGGGATTATCAACATGAGCTGCTAGGGCCATCTATGATTGTTTAGTTAATATTTATCTATTTAATCCCTCCCGAGATTTCTGCAACACTATTTAACTTGACATTCGGCCACTTGAAGACTCGGTAATGTCCCAGCCAGGTACCCAGAGTGATCACATATACCTGACTGATTTGAGAGTGACCTGCTCTGGGTTCCTAGATGCCATTACACATATATGAGCATCTCTGGTCCCCACTTTCTAAGGAACCAAGAAGCCCCTTGTTCTCTTTCTCTTATTGATTTCCTCTCTAAGTACCGCCATGGATCTAGAAGTTTTTCCCATCGGCAGGACTGCCCAAATAAAACGGAAGACAGCCAGTGAAATCTGGGTTTCAGGTAAACGAGTAATTTTAATGTAAGTATATTCCAAATATTACTATCTGTTCAAAACAGTGCTTTATTAACCAGTTATTTTATTAACCAGAACATTCCATTCCCTAGCATCACTAAGGAACATTTCACTTTGTTCTCTGATGCAGTTTACAAGGTAAATTGATATTCAATTCCAGAAAGTTCCAGTGTCTTTTATAAGCAGTTCTATGTGGTAACCAGAGGAGGGAAGGCAGATGATGGTTCTGGGTGGATGGTGGTCAGAAGAGTGGGTCCCTCCTGTCTCACGACACAGACCCTTCTGCTGCCCAGCTCTGTGTTTCACAACAAACACAGACAAGCTCCTTCACTAATGCAGTGCTGCAGTCTTCTTCCCTGGGATCTAAGGAGCCCTCAGGATACTCAGTCTGTTGATGTACATTGAGGTTGTTGGCCCGCTTTCTTTTGAAAACAGGTGCTAGATGGACATGGTGGGGACATGTAAACCCACAACTGGGAGGCTGAGGCAGAAGGTTTTCATGTTGGAACCCAACCTGAACTGCTCGGAAAGACCATCTTTCAAAATTGAATCATCCAATCCATCTGCATGCTGTACAAAGAATGTTCTACATTGCAGTCTAGATAAAGTCAACCCTTACCACCTATGGGATGGGCATTAGATTGCCTAGTCTAGGATAAAGTCAACCCTTACCACCTATGGGATGGGCATTAGATTGCCTAGTCTAGGATAAAGTCAACCCTT